ATAAAATTTTAAAAATAAAATTTTAAAAAGGAATTCCTGATTTGAAATACTTTGAAGATATCTGTTTTTCTGGCTTCTGGCCCAGGAAAATGAGGACTCAGGTATGTTCAATCTGGTTACCCAAAAGCCAGGATATAAAAAATTACTGAAAATTCTTAATCTTTTAAAAATTAACAGAAATTTTCACTAGTAGGTATAAGTCTGAAACACAAGATTTGATTTCAAAACGTTAAAACATCAGATTTTCCAGTTTAGTTCATATCTGTCTTCATTTCAAGATAATTTCTTTTCTGAAAATCAGGACAAATGCAAAGTTACGCTTTCTGCAAAATGACATTTCAAATTAATTATCTAAAGATTTTTAGTAATCACTGAATTCAAATCTGGAGGTTTGTTTCAGTTCCATTTCTACCTCATTAGTATATTAGAATTGAATATGATTGCTTGGAATTACAGAAATAATCATGTTAGTGAGAAAGCAGGTAACAGTAAATTTTCCTCTTATAACTAAAGAGAAAAATTACCAAATAGGACGGTATAGTATTGCAGCTCCTGCTTGAAACACTTGGTGCTGCTTCTGCTTAACTTATATTCAGCTTTACTTGGCATTTCATACAATAAAGGCTTCAGTATTTTTCTTCTAACTTATTGCAAATAGTCCATACTACAGAAAAGGAATTGCAAAATGTATTCAGAGGCAGCTTCTCTAAAACACGGAGAGAAAGAAGGCAGTGAAAAAGGGACTACTTTGGTAGGTCAGAAGGAGGTAGCAATGTGGATGGGGGGATTTTCTGGGAACTGTGAAAATAAACGTGGGGAATGTTAATGGAAATGAAGAAAAGGAAGGGGATAGAGATGGTAAAGGAACTGGGACAGTAGGAAAAAAGGAAGTGAAATAGAGGAAAGGGTTAGTGAAGATGAAATGGAGAAAGTCAAGACCGCTGCTCTGTTCCATCAGTTTCACAATTGCTTTATCTTTTTGGAGGGGAGGCAGAAGAGGGAAGATCAAAAGCCACATCATTAAGGACATATTTAAGGAAGAAAGAGGGGCCTCATAAGTAAATCACATATGTTCTATCATTAGAAGTGCTTCAGTAGTTTGGGTAGCTTTGCATATATAAAGCAACTATTTGCTGAAAGGCATGGTTCTTAGAAAGTATTTTCTGTAATGTGTTATTATTTTAACTGTTGCTAATGATTTATCAAATTATTTGATAACAAACAATCTCTACAGAAAAGACTCAGAGCGTGAAGTCTGTTCCGAGGTTTCCTTTTTTTAACGAGACCATATTTCCTATTCACCCTGAAAAGAGGTATTACCTTAAACTATCTCAGCTATATTCTTCCACATCAAGCCCAAAGGTATTACGAGGGTCATCTCTTTGCTGCTGAGGTAGATGAATATGACTCTTACACTGTTAAAAATGCAAACAGATGTTAAAAGGGGTGCCTCCTCCTTGGGTGTGCAACTTGAGATTTGTTAGCTCCTGATATTAGAAGCACCCATGAAAGTAATTAATACCTGTGGGAACTGTGAGGGGTTTCTTCTCTGAGTAGTTACCAATAGATTTCTCAATTTAAGCATTTAGAAATAGATATGTTAAAGAAAATCCGCTGGCTACTTCATTAACATGCTGGGTTTTGTGCCGTTCAGCATCATTACATTAGGTTTGTCCCTGGCTTGATTTCACTTCCTGCATAAAATGACAGCAAGGATGTATTTGGACCAGCCCTATGTACTTTTTTACAATAGGTAATGCATGTTCCAACAAATAGCATTGTGTGTCTATTGGACTTCATCACTCTGTTTACGTCTTTGAAAGAAATTACTAAACATTTTTTAATTATTGTAATTACAGCCTGAAAAGTTCTTTGTCCGTTTCATGCCATATATTATCCTGAGGTAAAGGGTAGAAGAGAGCAGAAGGGGAACTCATTAAAAGTCTGATTAAAATTCCATGTTGACACACCTGCAAAGAAATATATCTGACGAAATCCCACCACCATTTAAAACAATGGGAGCCCTGGAATTAATTTCAGTAGGGCTAGGATTTTACCCTGTTTGCAGGGGAAGACACGCTGGGCCCAGTTCTTCACCTGGGCTTTTTTTGAAGAAGAATTAGAATCAGGAAACAGTAATGGCACCGGCACCATTAGAGGCAGCAGTACTGGTAGAAATGGGAAACAGTTGAAATCAGCTTAGATATCTAGATACTTAACCACACAAATCCCAATGTTCAGGTGAAGATATGGGGTAGATGTCAAAGTTACAGAAGAATAACGTGACTCCCACATGCATAGTGAAACCCCAAGTAATCTGAGCAGGTTGTCTCAAATAAATGTCAGGAAAGCTTTTATGCCAGAAGTTCACATGTTCTCTCTAAATACTTCATGACCTACAAGAAGATGATTTTGTCATGTTCAGAAAATCTTCCTTTAAATACGTTACTGGCACTATTTTTCACATCCCTCTTTCTGCAAATACCTGAGCTGTTACATTAGTACCAGGGATCTCTTGTGTGGCTCTCCTTTTACAAGAGGGAAATAACTAGTTAACATGAGAAGAATTTAAAAATCACCTGCAATAGCTTTTCCATACATAAGAGCATCTTGATTTTAAGGTCAGAATCCTCTAAGTCAGGAAGTAAACGCTATTATCAAATTAAAGAGTTGGGAGAATCTCCCATTTCCTGACAGACCAGCAGTCAATTTCTAGTCCTTGAGTGGCCGGACCTTTCATCTGTCACTGATCCAGGGCTGAACAGCATTGTTCACTCTTTTCCTGAGGTCAAGCCAATTTACAGGGGAGGAAGAAGGAAACGTTTCTCTCGAAGGATTTTTATTTATTTATTTATTCTGCAAAACCTCAGAGGCTTGGAATGCCAAAAGGCTGCCCAACAGACAGTGATTAGCCATCAAAATCCAGCAGGGGTGATCAAAATTGGATTATATCTGCCGTTGTATGAAACGCGAACTTCTAGAGAGCAGCTCAACTTAGACTCCCAGGTTGTATTGCCCTGGAAGTGCTTCACGAGACCCCAAAACAGGCCACCTCTTACGGGGCGCTTGCCTGAAGCCTGCTCCCAGAAGCTCACTTTCTGAGAGATTTTGCATGCCACTTCCCCCCGCGCCCCAAGAAGTTGCACTAAAAGGAAAATCTTTGTAAACCATGAGAACACTGGAGCTGACTTTGTCTGGTATTAGATGCCTCGGTCAGCTTCCTTGGCTGCGGGAGATCCTTGCCTCGGGAGCGGGAGTGCAGGCACAGGCAGGGAAAGCAGCAGTCTCGTGCTGCCGGGCGGGGAGCGCAGGCACTGGGAGCTTCTGGGGCACTCGGGGCTTCCAGCTCGGTGCATGACAAACTGCCCTGGAGTTGTACCCCCTGGAAACCTAGGTGTGCTGGGGCACAGGGAGGTCATCCAGCCCGTGTTTCTGGGAAAAGTCCCCTGAAAGAAGGCCAACAGCATCCTGGCTTGTATCAGGAATAGTGTGGCCAGCAGGAGCAGGGAGGTGATTGTCCCCCTGTACTCGGCGCTGGTGAGGCCGCACCTGGAATACTGTGTCCAGTTTTGGGCCCCTCAATACAAGAAAGACATTGAGGTGCTGGAGCGTGTTCAGAGACGGGCAACAAGGCTGGTGAAGGGTCTGGAGCACAGGCCTTATGAGGAGCGGCTGAGGGAACTGGGGTTGTTTAGCCTGGAGAAGAGGAGGCTGAGGGGAGACCTTATCGCTCTCTACAACTACCTGAAATCCTTTTGTTGTAGTGAGGTGGGTGTTGGCCTCTTCTCCCATGTAGTTAGTGATAGGAAGAGAGGAAACGGGCTCAAGCTGTGCCAGGGGAGGTTTAGGTTGGAAATTAGGAAAAATTTCTTCACGGAAAGGGTGGTCAAGCATTGGAACAGGCTGCCCAGAGAGGTGGTGGAGTCACCATCCCTGGAAGTGTTCAAAAAACGGGTAGGTGTGGCACTTTGGGACATAGTTTAGTCTAGTCTACCCTTGATTGGTTTAGAGTGGACTTGGTAGTGTAGGTCAATGGTTGGACTGGATGACCTTAAAGGTCTTTTCCAACCTAAACAATTCTATGATTCTATGATTCTATAAACTACCACCACCACAGTGACAGTGGTGTCACTGTATTGGCTTAAGGACCAGGCCACGTAAGGCTTGAAGGCAGAATTAATATTTTTTGTTAGAACAACTGTAAAAGTAGAAAAACAAGACAGCCTTCAGGCACGCAAGCCATTCTCCATGTCTCCACTTCCATGCATTATTGTGGTTTGCATGGATCCTCAGTTTCAATGCTAAATACTCCTCTCAAGAAAATTTCTAGCCACCTCTGCCAGTGGGGCACGAGGATGTCCTTTGCTCCTTTCTCTGTCTCACATGAGAGTGAAATGGTATTTTCTGTTTTGATCACTGGCTAAGGATTCATTTTTAGCATAGTGATGAGTTGTAAGTAACTTAACAGCCGAAGCAGTGGAACTTGGCTCCCAAACTTTTTGCTAACCTTGAGCATTCCTGGCCTTCCTGGCTAGGAATTTTGTGCAAGCCTTTTTTAATGAATCTGCCTGAGGTATAACTTTCTCTGAGTTTTGAAGAGCTCAGATCCAGAGTTTGCTTCTCACTCTCCCTCGCTTCAGCGGCAAGTGCATTTATCATTGTTATTTGACAGAAAACTCAAAGGGTTAATGTCTTGGATTGATATTGTATGAAGGTACATTCCTTGCTTTCATGGAGCTCTAGCAATTAAGACAACTATTTGTTCTTGAGATCTTGCAGCTCATGATTGCTCTCTGTGATAGAATGATATGTTTTCTTTTATGACCATTACATAAACAAATGAAAGAAATAAACCTCTGTGGGACTTTTTTTTTTTTTTTTACAACTTCTGTCTAACCTGTCTGTACACTGTTGTACACTATGCTTCCATCCAGTCTGTAGCTTGAGTTTCTTGGATATGGAAAATACCTGTCTGATTCTTAAAAAAAATTTGTTAACAGGACATTTCCAAGTTCCCAGACAAAGATTATACAGTGCTGGGCGAAGGTGGAATCATTCTGAGTGGAGGCCAGCGAGCACGAATCTCACTAGCAAGGTGAGTATTTTGCTCTCTAAGTAGCGTGCTGTTTCATGTATAAGGAAAGTATTATGGCTAAGGACTTAAATACCTGTGGACCAAGTCCTGCTAAATAAATATCCTCCGGGTGTATCAGGAACTTCATTTTACTATCAGAAATCTGAGTTTTGCTATGCAATTGTGTTTGTGATACACCTGCATATTTATTTATTGAACTTTAAAAGTTTGATGTCAGACACATACTATGGCTTAGCTGAAGATGAATCTTTCCCTCCCTGATGCCATTTGGAGATTCAGACCTTTAAGTGTAGCTTTCTAAATACCAAAGAAACTCATACAAAGGTACAAATAAGAAATATTCCAGGACCTTTCCCTGCTATGACACTTCTACAAAGCAGTTTATATATTAATGACATACTCCCTGTCTGCAGGTAACAAAAATGAAAAAAATGTCGCATTTCAAAAAATGTTGCTAATATTTTTGGTCTTTTCTGTTGTAAAAAGAAAAAGTGGAAAGCAATGAGTAGTCAGTACCTGTGAATAATGTCCTGGCCTCGTCTGTTTGACCTTCCAACTAATGTTGGAAGTAGTTTTGAAGGTCTACAGAAGAATAACATGAGTGTTTGTCTTATAAATTAGCTATGTATTTCAGCGGAATCACTTAGCTATCATCAGACATCCAGTAATGATAGCTCTGATGTGTAAATGGCCCCAATTATTTCTGTGCCAAGTGCAAATCATGCTGATTCCTATGCTCAGAAATGCTGGGTAGAAGTAAAATCACATTATGGTGATCCACACTGGCATCCCAGGAAAGATGTGCATGTCTGTGTGAGGCTAAAAGATGAGTTCATTAAAATAGAGAGGCTTTCAGTGTGGGTCTTTCCAGCAGATTTGTCAGAGGGAAGATGCATATGGATGGTTCTGTTTTATGCGGTAAGATAAGAGAGCAGGCAAAGCTTTCAAAGCAAAAAAATCCCAACCAACAGAGTCCACTTAGATTTTCATTTGAAGTGCAACATTTATGTGAGGTATTCCCCAGATTGTATGAATAATCACATCTGTCACTTTTCAGATGGTCACAGCTCATTCACCGGAGGGTCACAGAACTGATATATTTATTGTCAGCTATATAATTATTATTTTTAAAGCGATTAAATGTCCCAAACACAGTGGCTGTATCTGCTTTACATTTTGTTTGGGCTCCAGTCTAAGCTCAACATACAGCAACGTGTGCAGGTGTTGGGGTGTGGGTGGCAGATGAAGCTCTGAGAAAGCTAGAGGAGAAAATTTAGGATTACAGCCCTGGGTTGTACCCATCTGCACTGGCGATAAGCTGGACGTTATTTGCTTGAGCTGGCTGCATACATGTGTCTGGTCTACTCTGTGCAAAGCCATGTGAAATGAGAATCCCTGCTGGAAGTGCCATCAACCAGCCGGCATGAGAAGCAAATGAAGATTGCCAGAGTCCGTCTTTCTTACAGAGCACTGTCAGTGCCTGCAGCTACAACCGGGGGAAAAAAAGGACCAAGAGAAAAAAACAGTGCATGCCCTGGGTTTGAGCTAGCTCACTGGTGCGGTACCCTAAAGCCGCTCATGTATAGCTGCTAAGTCCAACATACAAATTAAAGCAATAATTTGAGTGCTACCATTATTCCAGGAAAAAACCTGCAAACTTTTCGCTGATGAAAGTGCCAAGAACAGTATGAACTTTTTGTTGTTGTGCAGCCACTACATCATAATGTATGGTCAGTGAAATCCATCGTGACAGAGGATTTTTCAATGAAGTTGCTTGGTTTATTAACATAATACACTATTATTGAGGACTTTTTCTCCTGGTGGTTAAATATTTTCACATTGTTTAACATAATGATTTTAAAACTCAATTTTTAGAGTACTTTAAAAAGTACCGAAATGCAGCTGTCCAAATTTTCTTTACTAATTATACCCTAATTCATATAACATCATGATTTTCATACTCTCAGAGGAAGGCAAGGGGCCTTTTTGAAATTCTATCAAAATTAATCTTAAAAAAAACCCCCTCTCAACCACTGGTTTAGGTCTCAGCGAGCCATGTCTAGGCACATACAGCTTAAGGTCCTAATACTACAAATAGTTTTTCATGTCCTGAAGTCAAAATATTGTACAGTCCCATTTCAGATAATGTTTGCAAGATTGTGGCTCGCTAATACACTTGTCTTTTCCCATTAGTTATTTCCAAGTACTTTTAAAATGAAGTGCTGAGACCTAAGTCTTTTCACACACTTATTTACATATATGTAATATTCCAGTAGATGTTACAGTAGGTACTAAATTCCCATTTAAATGGTCATTGTACATGGATGGGGACTGTCAGGTTCAGGCCATAAACAGATCTTTAGAGTAACCTGTGTAAAAGGCAGCTGTATATCTTCCTTTGATTACACAGAAATTAGTGGAAAACTGATTTTGTAATGTAGTCTGCCGCAAGGAATGGCTTCATTGAAAGGTGTCTTATAAGCATATTTAACATTGAACTCCAGCTCCATATTAATGCCGCAGAAAAGCCTATCAATTACAAGTTTTTGAGACAAAACTGTAAAGGCATTCTTCTAAAATTATATTTATGTGAACTTATAAGGCTTGTGAAATTTAATGTCATTTCCATTTTCTCTGTTTAGAGCAGTGTACAAAGATGCTGATTTGTATCTCCTGGATTCTCCTTTTGGACATTTAGACATTTTTACAGAAAAAGAGATATTTGAAAGGTACCGTATGTTTTGATAGATTGTATTTAAGAATCACACCAAGCAGCACAAAGTCAAACCAAGAACAGAAATTTAATGACACTACAAAAATACTGAAGTGATCAAAATTATACCTTTTGGGAATGTTTATTTTTAGGGATTCTCGTGACTGAGTATTTTGTGTTAGCAGTGTACTGTGCTGGGAACAAGCCTGGGCCAGGTGTAAGCATTACTGCTCCCTCTTCCATCTCAATGTACTGAGCCTGCTATAATCTATGACTCCCAGAGTGCATGGCTTTATATCTGGTGTGTCTGTGTACCAGAAAGGCTTTCATTTTAAAACTTACCTGCTTTGTAAGTATAATTTTTTACAGAAAGCTATATTTTGTCTTGTTTTTCTAATCACTGAAAGGCTGGTCACCTGAAAGTGCCCACTGACCGAGAGACTGGCAGCAGGGTGGCCAAAGACAGAGACTTTTGGCTTGTCCTCTGTGGTGTAGCTCAAAACAGTAAGGACACACACTGCCATCCATGAGCTTTTCAGTCACCATAAGTTTGAAGTTTTAAAATTGAGCTAATACTCTTAAGTTTGGTAGCAAAAGATCTAAGTAACCCTAAGATGAAAAGAAATATTTCATTTTCATGTTGAACTGTGCTTTTTGGATTGACCTGAAAATGATTAAATTTTCCCCCTTTTTTTGGTTCCTGCGATAAAGTACTCACCCTTTACACATCTCAGCCTCACCAACTCCTTTGTAGTTTGAGGGAGCACCCAAGACTGCTCATACTGGGAAGGGGAGCAGGTACAAGCAAATAGATTGAAAGTGAAAGGGATAAAATCAACATTTAACCATGAAGAAAAAAAATCTAAATTTTAACACTTTCATCTTTTATAGCTGTGTGTGCAAATTGATGGCGAATAAAACTAGGATCTTGGTTACTTCAAAACTGGAACATTTAAAGATTGCTGACAAAATACTAATTTTACATGAGGGGAGCTGCTATTTCTATGGAACATTTTCTGAACTTCAGGGTCAACGGCCAGACTTCAGCTCAGAGCTGATGGGATTTGATTCTTTTGATCAGTTCAGTGCAGAGAGAAGAAATTCAATTATAACTGAGACTCTCCGACGATTTTCCATTGAAGGAGAAGGCATGGGACCACGAAATGAAATAAAGAAGCAATCTTTTAAACAAACATCCGATTTTAATGACAAAAGGAAGAACTCCATAATTATTAACCCCCTTAATGCAAGTAGGAAGTTCTCAGTAGCTCAGAGGAATGGGATGCAGGTCAATGGGATAGAAGATGGCCACAACGACCCACCAGAAAGGAGGCTCTCGCTGGTACCTGACTTGGAACAGGGAGACGTAGGTCTGTTTCGGAGTAACATGCTAAACGCTGATCATATCCTGCAAGGTCAGAGGAGGCAATCTGTGTTAAACCTGATGACGGGCACCTCTGCGAACTATGGACCAAACTTTTCCAAAAAGGGAAGTGCAACATTTCGGAAAATGTCTATGGTGCCTCAGACAAACCTGTCTTCTGAGATAGATATCTACACCAGGCGCTTGTCTCGAGACAGTGTCTTGGACATAACTGATGAAATCAATGAAGAGGATTTGAAGGTGTGTGTTGATTTACATTCACCTTGGTTTTTGATGTGGTGATAGTTTAGGGCAATATACTCCTTACATATTTTTCTACCTGACTATGTCATTCCTGATGCAGTACTTCTCTGTGGAATATATTTTTGGTGTATCTGTGAATATTTTTTATCTCAAATATAATCTTGAAATAATTTAAATCCTCAAGAATTCATTTTGCTTGATTTTTTATAGTTTTTGAATGCTATCTGTAGGGGATTTCAATACCGAATTTCAATCTCCTGCCCTTTAATCCACCTTTAAGATTACTTACGCTAAAATTAAATTTGAAACCGTAACATGGAAAAACATTGTTTTAAAACATTTATGTAAAATTGACATTTGAAACGTTAAGGCTCATGGAAAAAATAGAATACATTTCAAGTACTAGCACAGTTTTTAAAACTGGAATTTGATCAAATTTCACAAATTTTTGAGACTGCTTAGCTCTTATGTTCTGATACAGATAATGAACAGAGGAGTAAGCTGGATTTTACTCTGTTTTTATGGATGTGCTGGGAATTATGCAATTAAGGTTGAGTTTTATACCATGAACTGGACCAAAATTTCTTTTTTCTAATAACTAACAACTGGTCATGATGAATACCTTTCATTTTCAAAAGTGCCAGGTGATTTTCACAGGATAGGAAAATTTTCTAAAGTAGTTTCCTAGGTGGAAAAAGTCTACAAGAAATATTTAAACTCATAATGTGCTGAAGCACTGCCCATTTTTGCTTTTGCTTTATTGATCTCAGCAGAAACACCCCCCCTGCCCCGAGTATTTACAAATTTACTCTAACAGCACAATAATAATCTCCATTGAAAGAAAATAGCTATTGATTAACCATTGCTGGGCTTCAAGTAGTGCTGGGCAAATCTTGGTTGTTTCTTTCAGTGTTGTCTGAAAATTTCAAATCATCTCTAAACTGTGTTGTTATGTCAAAGATGACTCAACCAGGCAGTACCTTCCTCTCCAGCCATTATCAGCCAATTTGAATGCTGCAGTTGAATTATTTGGCGTGAGTTAACAGAGAGAGTGACAGCATTCTTGTGTCAGAAATTCTCATATATAGATATTATTATCATTCTGACTATGGTCTTATAAATTCTTTGACAGGAATGCTTTACTGATGATGCTGAAAGCATGGGTACTGTTACCACATGGAACACCTATTTCAGATACATTACCATCCACAAAAACTTGATTTTTGTTCTAATTTTGTGTGTGACTGTCTTCTTAGTTGAGGTAAGAAAATCTGCGCTTGATGTCATGTTACTACAAATGTTTGTTCAAACTGTGTTGTTTGTGATAAAAGGATAAACGAATAAAGCATCAAGATATTAGCTCATGTATGTACCGCTTATTGGCAACTGCTGTTAAATGATATTGCAATCACTTTTATACTGTTTAGATGTGCATTTCTCATCAGAGATAGTGGTTAGTGCACAGAGGCAGAAGACCCACCTTCTTAAATCTCGGTTATTTTCTGCTGTGTGGTACCATAAATAAGAATTGTTGCCCTGGGCAGGTCTCTTGTTCACACGTGAATAACCTTCCATTTTCCATTAAAAGATATCTTTGTAGAGCTTTGGGGGCTTAACAACAGTAATTACTAGAATTTTTTTGATAAGCACATACATAAATTCTGGAGAATTGCTTTCAAAAATGAGTTAATCGTTTTGCTCCTAATGAAAGAAGAGTGGTGAGTAAGGCAGAGAGCTGAATGCCTGTGAGGGAATTTAGAGATAGATGAGGTGTTCCTGAAGGATGCAGAGAGGGCTTTTTCCAAGTACAGTGGAAAACACTGTCAGAAAAAGTGCTGAAGAACATCTATCTGACCATGGAAGTCTGACTATTTTTCTTGTAACAGAAATTGCCTACTTTTTGTCTCATCTCCCAATTTAGGACTTTTAGCATATATACAGAATCTCATAGTATCCTCTTTTACAATTGATATCCTAAATCAAGTGTTCTTCTGAGGGAAGGAACACGATTTGGAGAAAAGATTGGGAAATTAGTGAGACTGTATTCATATGTCAACTTATAAAATATGGTACCAATTTCTCTTGGCATTTTCCAACATGAACTGACAGAAGCGAAGAATCCATTGGGAATATAGGACTAATTTATGGCTGATTGCATCAGTGAAATGTTTTTAGCAGTTCTGTGGTGGCATTCAAACTTCTAGTATCATCAAACCTGGAGAAGGATACGATTGACAGTATCCTGAATTTACACTAATGTTATGTTGCAGGTGATTTAAATTAGTTCTTTAAGCCTGGAGCTTAGATCAGGAATAAAGCCTGGAGCTTAGATCTAGTTTGAGATCCCAAATTTTTAAACCACCTTCAAAAACATGACAGTATTTAGAAGTGTAACTGTTCTTATGTAAGTTTTATTTTCATGGTAGTGGAAAATGGCTGTGTAAACCTACAACAGCAAAGCTTAATGTGAGTTGTAGGGGAAAAAAAACCCTTTGATGTATATCAGATTTATCCCCATATATTCAGTGCACATTTCTAATCTCAATTACAAATTTTTGCTTTTAAATTAGACCAATGCCTTTTTAAATAATTCAAAAGCCTCATCTTTTAATTGAAGAACAAATCTTATGACAAAGAACGTATCCATCTAAGTTAAACTTTCCAGTGTGACTGTGGCTTAAGTAAAAGACTATTGATAAATTAACGGTCCGGAAGATGCTCAGTCGTAGCACAGACTATATAACCTTTAGCAAATCTCTGTGCATGAGATGAAATACCATGCCAAGTGGTTATGTGGCATGTGCTAACACTTTGTACCCTTCTGATCTTAGACAACAAAGAGAGGCTAGTGATGAAGATCCGAGTGCTGAACTGAGAGAGTAGTGACAAGGAAATTGAAAGTGGAGTTTTGACACCCTTCAGAGCTTGACAGGACTATGGTGGAAATGCTAGAGATGCTGGTTTAGATTTAGAATGGATTGTTTTGTATTGTAGGTCCCAAGGAGAATTATGTAAAACTAGCAGCCAAGCAATATCAGACAAATAGATATTTCAAAAGTGGGTATCAGCTAGCAAGAACAACAATGCAAAAGTAACAATGTTAAAGATTTGACATTCATATTTGAATAGCTGCCTTTGAAGATATTGAGAGACTTACTCTTTTAGGGCCATCAAGAAATATTAATCTTTAAAACTTAAAATATGTTAAAGAACACAGTGAATGTTCCTTGTCATTAGGAATGCATTAGCAAGCCTTTGTTAGCAGTACAGTAAAAAACAATAAAAGAATATTTAGGCACTTGAGAGCCTGATGTAATACTAGTCTAAATGTAGCTTTCCTGGTGGGATGCACTAAATGGTTTCTGTGGAAAGAGGAGCAGATATGACAAGGTTTTTGCTTCAGGAAAGTTTGACTTCCATCCATTTATAATGCTTTCTCTACAAACAATTATAAAGTCAGTGAAAGAAGATAAGTAAGAAAAAGTACATAATGTGACAAGACAAAAAATTGACTCTGTTTTCTTTGGTCACAGGTAGCTGCTTCTCTTGCTGGGTTATGGTTTCTTAAAAAGTAAGTAGTCATTTATTTATTGAATATATATATATTCAATATATTGAATTTATTGAGAGATTGGGGACTCCTTTATATCAATTTTTGCTATAAATAATTAATAAATGCTGCCAGATGTCTATATTGGATAGACACTAGCTTATATTCAATAAAATGGTTCATGATCTAAATACCCGATGTAGGTGGTATTGTAAGCTGGTACTTCTTTAAGTGCTAACAATCAAATGGTTTGTGCCTTGTTATTGAGCACATAAGAACACATGCAAGAGTTTTCCTGGGTCAGCTCACTCTAGAGATGCATGAACTTGATTATCCTGAATACACCATGGTTCACCACTGTCTTTCAGAGGTGCCGGGTGAGACATTTGCTTAGGAACATTTTAAGGGAGCAGTTTCTGTAAGACCTCATTTGTACAATTTCCTCTGCTCACCCATGAAAAATTCCCAGAAGTGTCAGGGTCAGGCAGATGAAGGTTAAAACATACTGAGCAGCCGTATGGCTTTTCCTGGGTTAATGCTTTTGATCCCTGTTTTAGTCTTGCAGTGCTAAGTCTGTGTGTTGGAGTATAGAAAGCATATGGTGACTTAGGTCTGATCTGGAGGAGGAGGAGGGATTTATGTTGATGCCCCCTTACAACAGGTCACTAAGGCCTTTGATTTTTATAGTACAGCTTAAGCATTTTACTTCCATAATAATTCGCTTTTTTCAACACTTGAACTGTTTTTTCTGGTTGAAAGAAGTGGATGTGTTTTCCTTGATTAGGGTAGTTTTGTCAGTGATTAAAGTGGCAGTAGATTTGCAAGACACTACCAAAGTACATTTTCACAGCAGTTTGGAGAAAACTGTTGGAGGGGTTGTAGTTATATACCAATGGTTTAATTTCCAACTTGGTTAAAACCCTTCATTGCACAATTGCAACTAATTTCAGAAATTACTACAAATGCTGATAGGCACCTGAATCACCAAAGGTATCTGAAGAGATGAATAAGCCACTTATTGCCTTGATCCCTGAATACACACAGAGTAACTTTGCCATAGTGGAACATGGGTTGGTTCATATTTATATTTCGTACATACAGGACAATTTATAAAATGACTGGAAATATATATAGCTAACCATTAACATAGTTTTAAAACAAATGAACATTGCAGTACTATTTGTTTAGTAGAGAAAATAAAAAAGAAAAAAATGCAATTTCCAGTAATGCATTTATTTTTAATTTTCATCATACAGGACAGCTTCGAATGCGAATGCAAATGCAACACAAGCACAAAACAGTACCTCTGACAAACCTCCTGTGATTGTCACTGACACTAGCGCCTACTACATCATTTATATCTACGTGGGAGTGGCAGATACCCTGCTGGCCATGGGAATCTTCAGAGGTTTGCCCCTTGTGCATACGCTTATAACGGTGTCTAAAACTCTTCATCAAAAGATGCTGCACGCAGTTCTTCATGCACCTATGTCAACATTCAACTCTTGGAAAGCAGGTAACTGAGATGGGAACCAATTGAGTCATGTATGAGTTTCATTTCAATTAAACGGTTTTCATTCTGTTCAAGGATACTGTTGCTTTCCATTTACATTTTCAGTCAAGCTGAATGTTAAAAGTTTGCCACATAAAGTAATTTGTGACTCTTTTAATGAACCTCGAAGTGTGACATATTTCAGTTGTCAATTCTCATTCTGAAATATCACCTTGTAAGTTGGAGAAAACTGTTAACTGTTTGAGGCAATAAAACCAGAATAACTTCTAATGAATAGCCTTTGTCTAAAACTGCAATAGAAAAGATATAGTCAGCTAGGTGGTGAGTGACAGGGAGTCAGGTGTGGATAATAAATAGTGCTTTATTTCATGAGTAGTCCTACTAAAATGGCATAAAACATCAGTTAGTGTGAATAATGGTATGCGCATTCAAATTTGGCTCTGGAGTTGATACAGAATTCATTATATAACTGGTGCAACAAGTTCCATCTCCTGCTGTACATGAAACTCCTATCTCATACCCTTCTTACTGGTGCGTACTAGCTTACAGGAGACACTGCTAAATGACAATACAACATAGGGTTTCTCCTTCATTTTCCCATTACAGTCTTAATTCTGTTGTTACCTGGTGATTAATACAGTAATTCTGCTCAGAAGGTAAGAAACTGGTGTACAAACTGATACAAATGCTGATGTATAAATTATCTGTGTATCAGCAGAGCCTGCTGCATAAGGGGTACTGATGCTATGCTTTGTGCCTCTGTTTCTGTCCTGTTTAATTATGCTTCTTTGTTTTTGTTACATTTTCCTCTTTTTTTCTGAGATTCTAAGAGCTGAAACAAAAGTTGTGGAGCCAAATTCCTCCCTGGGGAAAGAAGCTGTAGCTCCACTAAACTGTAATGGAATTACTTGTACTAGAAAAAATCTTGTGCTTATTGTTAATATTTTATATTCAGAAAAAGTTGTACTTTTTGTTAAAGTAATAAATGTAGGATTTTCGAGGTGTTAAAATGTTTGACTTTTTTTTCTTTTTGTTTTTCTTAATCCATAGGTGGTATGCTTAACAGATTCTCAAAAGATACGGCAGTACTGGATGACTTACTTCCACTCACAATATTTGACTTCATTCAGGTTTGTAGAATAAAAGTTCTAAATTTTGCTCTCTTATAGCACTGTAAAGTTTGAGTTGTACATCGTGCAAAAGAAATCATCTTAATAAGAAGAAATAACAGATGGAATTAAATCCCTCTTCCTTTTTTTCAGTGTGTTTATCTGTTTACATAGATGCTTATCTTCTAAGTCAAATTCATTGCTTCTTTTTTGAGTACTTGCCTGTATGTGTACCTCCACTGTTTGTGCAAACCACTTTCAGTACTCAGGCTCAGAAACATTTTTGCCCTGCAGACCCGTACAGTACAAGTATCCCTGCTGCTGCCTGTATTCAACTTCAAAGGTATAAAGGGCATTCCTTAGTTTCTTTCAGTTATCTTGGCTCAAGATTAGTATTTTTTTTATGCTGTCCTTTGATTGCATTCAGTCATTTTCATGACTTTACCTCCTTGGCCCCTTCTGTTCCCAGTTTGTTAGCATCACTCTTAATTTCCTTCTTCTCTTTTGTTGCCTATATTCTTGGTTTTTTCTGTTCTTTTATCTTCTGTGGAAACTCTTCCAGGCCTGCCTTATTGGGCAGTTTGACCCATGATGATATACTTTCAACTTTCAGTCAGGCAGTTCGGCATTTTTTTTTTCTTTTTCTTTTTGTTTTTTCTTTTTGTTTTTTCCCCTTCACAAGGTTGACTGCCTAATTTTGTGTTTTATCCTTCGCATCTTCGTGGCTTCCCCTGAGTCTCTGGGATTTAAGCTGAGTCTGTCAGGCACTAGATAACTATTTGTGATGGAGGAGAGCTTTAGATGACTCCACTCCTTGGAGGAATTTTACATCCCTAAGAGTTGTGGAATTGCAAACTTTTTATTTTTTGGATGGAAAGGCTTGTTTCCAGCATACCTCCTGGGAAACTCCATGCATTGCAAAATCTTGAGTGTTGAATGACCTTCCAATTCATCCACACTGAAGAGAACATTGAAGAAATACAGAGACAGAGGCAATCCCAGTGTTTCTTAAGGAGGATGACTTTGTTTGCTCCCCATCCTGCCTGTTCTGAGACTTTGTGGCTCTGTGTGGATCCCAGCACACCTCATTAGTGTCCCACCACTAATGCTGCAATGACAGCTTTTCCTCAGATAGAGCTGGTTCCCAGAACATTTGAAAAATAAAAGCAAAACCTTCCCTCGCCCTCCTGTTCCTTTCTACCTTTATTTAGGAGGTATGCAGGCCTGACTTAATCAACCCACTTTGCTGCACAGATTGCCTGTCTCCATCTGTGAGTTTGCTCTGCTTTACAACCTCTGCCAACATGATGGTCTGATCAAAACCGAGTCCCTTTCCCTATATCTTTGTTAGTAATTCATAACTTTGGCTCATGACTTTAGAGAGGCCAGTGTAGCTCCGCGTGAAGAGGTTCAAGGACATTACAGCTCTACTTCATACCCTGCTGACATCATGACGATTTGCTGAATGAGTAAACATGGACATTGAGACCTCCTCTTGAATCATTAATGTAATCTTCGGTGTGATCAGGATTCACTACTCTCTTTTCTGGTGTGGCCATTTTGTTTCTGATATTTTGGATCTGCCATGGAGATGCTATTCCAAAATTATTTTAGTTAGTCTGTCTCTGTGTTTCAAACTCTCTACAACAAACTGACTAGTTTTTCATGCTTTCAAGGATAAGGAAAATCCCTAGATTTAGCTTTTTCTGTTCTGATGCCTTTCAGAGGCTAACCTATACTTTAATGTCCCATAGGTTCACCTCTGTCTCCCCAGTCTCAACTGCAGAAGCTCCTGGACGTGTATGATAAGCTTCCCTGTCTTTCCAGGTTCTTCTGCTGAAGATCACTGAACCTACCTTCTGTCTTGAATGCTTTTTACCAGTCATCCCTTCATAAGACATTTTTTCTGATCTTCCATAGATTGAGACTTGTCTGGCAGCTCCAGACTTCCATAGACTGCTAATGAACAAAGTCAGATTCTTCTGAAAGATACAGAGAAGTTATACATATGACTTTCTCCTTCTGTGCCAATTATCAGAGTCACAGAATGAGTGAAGTTGGAAGGGACCTCTGGACCTAGGGCCTGGGACCTCTCCAACCCCTCTGCTCAAAGCAGAGTCAGCTAGAGCAGGTTGCTCAGGGCCATGTTGGATTTTGGATATCTCCAGGGATGGAGACTCCACAACTTCTCTGAGCAATCTGTTCCAGTGTTTGACCATCCCCACAATAAAGGTGCTTTTTCTTATGTTTAAATTGCATTTTTTGCATTTCAACTTGTGTCCATTGGCTCTTATCTCCCCACTGGGTGCCACTGAGAAGAATCTGGCTCAGGCTTATTTGTTCTGCACCAAATACCTACTGGGATTTATATAAGTAGAATACAATTTTTAAACATATATATAATTTATAAAAAATTATTTGCATATATACACACATTTATAAT